TATGTGTATACCACTTTTTTTTTTAAAGAATTATTATTACTGTTTTTTTATTTGTTGTAGAGTACATGCACTCACCAGAAAGAGAGAGAGAGAGAGAGAGATTGAGTAAACCACCAGATCTGGGACTGGAACTGTGGTTGGCCCTGTGGGAGTCCAGCACCTTAACCACCATGCTACCTGTTGGTCCCTGTATACCACATTGTATCAATTCATCCATTAGTTGATAACATTTGAGTTGTTTCCCACTTCTGGAAAATCATGAGTAATGTGGCTATGAGCATTTGTGTAGAAGTCCCAAGGCTCTTTTAATTTATAAGACTGTCTCTTTTTAAATTTTTCCTTTGTAGTGTGTTCAGTTAGGAAAGTGGTTATTTTTCTAGTAGAGTTTCTACAGTCTGGATGTTGCTGACACTGTAGTATCTATCATTTAACACTTTTATGTGCTGGTTTTTTTTTTTTTTTTCCCCTCAGAATATTTTGATTTAGAGGTTCAGTTCACTACAGGTTCAGTGTTTTGGGCAGGGTGGTGGTGTGCTCTTTCACCAGGAGATTTATAAGGTATGGGTATTATAATCTGACAGGAATTAAAGCAGAGCTTCATTGTTTAGCTCCTCCATTAATTCACGAAGGTTCATACTTGGTGCCTACTTTCCAAAATGTTATGAAATCTTTTTTGTGTTCCAGATTTTTTTTTGGAGAGGTTTTTTTTTTTTTTTTTTTTTGCTATAGGGCGCATGCGCTCGCCAGACAGAGAGAGACATAGAGACAGAAAGCGAGAAATCACCCCCCAGGGGGGATGGTCACGCCGCAATCCCTTCTCCTCCATTCTCCTCTCGGGATCTTGGGCACACACGCACACGCACCCCGCGTGAGTTTTAAGCCACCGGGTCCGGGACGTGAACCGCGATCGACTACGTGGGAGTCCAGTGACATAGCCATTACGCTAACTGCTGGTTCCCATTTTTTTTTTTTTGAGAGGTTTTTGCTATAGAGTGCATGCGCCCGTTGGAGAGACAGAGACAGACAGAACTTAAGAAATTACCCCCCAGGGGAATGGCCATGCTGCAATTCCTTCTCTGTTCTCTTGGGATTTTGGGCATGCACATATATACGCCTAGCATACGTTTTAAGTCACTGGGTCTGGGACTCGAACTGCGATCGACTACGTGAGAGTCCAGTGATTTAAGCATTATGCCATCTGCTGGTCCCTTGTGTTATAGTTTCAAACTTGTATCTGCTGACATACAGGAAAGTGATGTGTGTTTATGGGGTTAACTAGATACCTATATTTTCTTGTAAATCCTTATCTTTTCGTGAGTTTTTTTCCTCTTCTGAGGGTGTATGTACTCAGCAGAGAGAGAGGGGCAGACAGAGAAAGCACCTTCCAATGGGGCATGGTTATGCCACAGTCCCATCTCCATTTTTCTATCCTGTCAGGATTCTTGGCATGTGTGCACATACACCCAGTGTGTTTTTCAAGCTGCCAGGGCCGAGATTTGAACTGCCTGGTTGACCATGTGGAATCTGTCTCCTTTGACCAGTAGGCCATGAGACTTGTCCTTTCTTTTGAGATTTTCCAGAGCATTCTAGCTGATCATGCCCATCATTGTTCCTGACAGACACCCTCCCTCATTTTCCTTGCCACACTGCATTGGCTAGTCCTTCAGGATACCTTGGGCAGCAGCAAAAAGTGAGGTGCCCCCTGACTACAGGAATCCTTCCAGAGATGCTTACAGTTACCCAAACTTTTCTCCCCAGTGTTGTAACTATGGAGCAGAAGCTGCTGCAGATGGGCCCATGCCTGCCTTTGGTGATCCTGGGGCTGCCCTTGGTCATGATGTCATAGGCAGATTCAGGGCCCATGGAAGACCTTCAGCTGTGCAGGACCCTAGTCAGCTTCAGCTGAAAATAATGGGCGCAGTTGGCCTTTTCTAAATAAAGCACCGTGCACAGAGGAAGTGCGGCTGGGCTAAAATCAGGTGTGGAAACTGCGCACCAAGGACGCAGGCGGCCTGACCAGCACCCCTGTCAGAGGCAGGGGTGCTGCTAGCATCTCTGTTGGAGCACTAGTTTGAATGAGGCTGTTTCCTCTGAGGACACATGCTCGTGTCGGGGGCCTGCTCTGGGCAATGCAGATGCCCAGGCTCTGCCCTGGAGAGATGGAGCCAGCCCTGAGGAAAACTTGGTATGAGCATTTCTAGGATGTCACTGCTAAATGACAATAGAGAAAGGGGACTCCCCTCTGTGTCCACAATTTTATTCCTCCTTCCTGAAACAATTGCAAGGTGGCTTGCAAGGGCAGATGCCTGGCCTCCAGGACCAGTAAACAGTGCTAGGTCCTGGTTGAAGTCCAGAGACCTCCCTCAACATGCCTGGCCCATGTGTACCTGTGATCCTGGCTGAAGCTGAGGGTGGATCACAGCGTCAGGAACCTGTTAGGGATACTATCGCTCTCTTTTTCTCTTATAGGACCAGCAGTTAGCGTAATGGCTATGTCGCTGGACTCCCACGTAGTGGACCGCAGTTCACGTCCTGGACCCAGTGGCTTAAAACACACCAGGCATGTGTGCGAGCGTGCCCAAGATCCTTAGAGGAGAATGGAGGAGAAAGGATTGCAGCATGGCCATCCCTCCTGGGGGGTGATTTCTCGCTTTCTGTCTCTCTGTCTCTCTCTGTCTGTCTGGTGAATGCATGCACCCTATAGCAAAAATCTCTCCAAAAAAAAAGAGACTTTAAGAGACAAAAACAAAAACTCTGCTTCCAAAAAGACATGCATGAGAGTGGACAGCAGGACCCAGCTCTAAGTTGCTGTCTTTTCTCACTAGGGAGGGCCGGGGGCATCCTCGATTCCAAACACTGAAACTTGTAATTCCTGAGGAGAGTTTGAGGAGACTGGAACGAAAGCTCTACCAGGAGCAGTTAACTGCCAAGCTCTGGGGATGCAAGCTCCTGCTTGCAGTTGGAGAGGGCCAACGCCAGGCTGCAGACAGGCCAGTGGGACAGCTTGGCCACCCTGAAGGCTTATAGCACAGTGAAACAGTGGGAAAATTGTTTTCAAAATTCTTCTCTTTTTCGCCCTAACAGAAAAAGGAAGGCGGAGACCTATACACTCTGGATGTCAGGAGTCTCAAAGTCGCTCCCGCAAGCTTCTGGTTAAGGGCCTGCCAGGGTTTCTCCACTAGTTTCTCTTTTCCCCTTTGCAACATTAGCAGAGGCCGAGTTCCTCACAGCATTGTGCAAGCAACAAGCGTCCGGCAGCAGCTCTGTTGAGGACCCAGTGGCAAACACTGAACATGCAAGGTTTTTTCATAATGTGCTTTTTCTTGAACTTTTTCAAGCCCTTGCATATATTGTCTATGGGTTCTTTCATGTTGCCAAGGCAGAGCAGAGTAGTTTGGACAGACCTCAAAACCAAAACCACTTCTTATCTGGCCTTTTAAGAAAGAGTTTGGCTATCTCTAACATAAACACTCTGATGACTGGTAATGAATTAAATTGACAGGCTGATCCCAATACCCCTATTGATCCTTTGTCTTCAACACCTCCACTTTCCCTTTCTCAACTCAGCTGGCGCAAACTGCTCTCCACTAAGATCCCTCCGGTGACACTCTTCAAAATTGTCACCCCGGTGACAGCCAGGCAAACCAGGTTACCGGCCTGTCCTTGGCAGCCCCTAGGCACCTATCCACTCCCTCCCAACACCGTCCCCCCGGAGCCGCGGCAAGCTTCTGGTTAAGGGCCTGCCAGGTTTCTCCACTAGTTTCTCTTTTCCCCTTTGCAACATTAGCAGAGGCCGAGTTCCTCACAGCATTGTGCAAGCAACAAGCGTCCGGCAGCAGCTCTGTTGAGGACCCAGTGGCAAACACTGAACATGCAAGGTTTTTTCATAATGTGCTTTTTCTTGAACTTTTTCAAGCCCTTGCATATATTGTCTATGGGTTCTTTCATGTTGCCAAGGCAGAGCAGAGTAGTTTGGACAGACCTCAAAACCAAAACCACTTCTTATCTGGCCTTTTAAGAAAGAGTTTGGCTATCTCTAACATAAACACTCTGATGACTGGTAATGAATTAAATTGACAGGCTGATCCCAATACCCCTATTGATCCTTTGTCTTCAACACCTCCACTTTCCCTTTCTCAACTCAGCTGGCGCAAACTGCTCTCCACTAAGATCCCTCCGGTGACACTCTTCAAAATTGTCACCCCGGTGACAGCCAGGCAAACCAGGTTACCGGCCTGTCCTTGGCAGCCCCTAGGCACCTATCCACTCCCTCCAAACACCGTCCCCCAGGAGCCGCGACAGCAGAACTCCTCCAACTTCCTCCTTCCCATTTTCTGCTGGGTGTGGGTGCCGAAGAAAGCAGCTTTCAAAGCGTTGAGAGCAGCGTGTTGCATGGAAGCCAGTTGCAGTGCCTCAGACCAGTTTCTCCGCAGGTCCTCAAACTAGGACCACCTCTTAGCGATCCCAGCTTCTCCCAGCCCTTCTCCGAAAAAGAAGGAAGCTCAAGAAACGCACAAATACAGAAGCTCCCGTTACCCCTCGGTCTTTACCACAGCGCAGGTGGCTAGTGCCATTGTTTTCCGCGACCACTTCTTCCCGACCTCGGTCAGACTCTGCTGGAGCGAGTGCGGGACCCCCTCACCGGGGTTCGCCCGAAAAGAGGCAGATATCCGCGCCCTCACCGAAGGCTCTCGCGCCACCGGGTTCCGATCCCGACCCGGACGCAGCCTTGCGCCCAGGGGACCTGGCCAGGGAGGCGGGCGAGGGCGCGCGGCATCCACCTAGAAAGACTACTTGAGGTCGGCGCTGGGCGCTGAACTAGGATTGGAGAAGGGTACAAGTAGGGGGAAGTGTCAGCGGGGCTGCGCGGACTCAACCTGCGAGCGCGGCAAAAAGGGAAGCACCATCGCTGGACCTACTTCTGCGTCCCTGCCCTCGAGGAACGAGGGCTTGGAGGCCAGAGCGCCTCAGGAATGGGTTCCGGGGCTCCGAGTGCCATTGGCTGGGGGGCCCCCCGCGAGCGCTCCCATTGGTGGGAGAGGAGGGGCGGGGACTTCGCGGTGGGTTTGGGTCTCCCGCGGCGTCGACTTTCCGTGGCAGCACGGAGAGCAGCAGTGGTAGCGGACCTCACTGACCAAGACACCATGAGCCACAACCTGGACGCGGTGCGGAGCTTCCTGGAGCAGCTGAAGGCGCGAGGCGGCCGGGAGGGGGCGGTCCTCGCCGGCGAGTTCAACGTGAGTGAGAGTGTGGACCGCTGCGCCGCACGCTCAGTCCTCTGTCCGGATGGTCGGAACTCTGTCCTGTGCGCCCTGCGGCTCTGCCTCTCCGGGTGCTCAGGGACGTTTCCCCCTCTGGCTCTTTGCTTTTCTCTCCGCAACACTTTGTCGCTCTCTCGCGCTGTCTTGGTTGTCAGCCTGAGGGCGAAGTCCATAGCGGGCCAGGAGGGATACTACCTCGGGGCTGGTTTCCTGGTCGGGCTCCCGGAACAGTCTCGCGCGGGCGGGAGGGGCGTCGCAGCAGGGGAGAGCCAGCGCACACCTGCGCGGAACCACCTGGCCGCCCCTGGCGCACCGGTCACCCCGGTGGGAGCAGGGGGAGAGGAACCAGGAGGCCCTGACCTTCAAGAGTGAGGACACTGGGCCGTGGGCCGGGCGGTTTATTTGGTGGCTCTGGCCTCAGTTTCTCCTTCGGGGAAATGGGTGCATTAAGACCAAACTGTCCCAAGAATTAAGTGGTGTTGGTTAAAAAAAAAAAATCCAAAAACCACTTAGGACATCTTTGGCGCTCACTTTGTCACTACCGACAAGGAGTCTAAACGTTACCAGAGTGTAAGGCAGCCAAGGGTTGTAGGTGCTGACGGGGCGCCGGAGGCATGGCATAGACACTGCACAGATGTGTAAACTTACTGTGTGGTGACATAGATGAAATTTTGAAATATGTGATACATATTATAGATACATAAAAGTAAATGATTACAAATGACAATTTACACAATAGTCTTATTGCATAAGACCATATATAACCAACAAGTAAAAAAATCTAATTTACCACACCTGTAAAAATAGTGTAGCACATAAATAAAACGCATACTAAATGTAAACATAATTATAAGATATGAAACTATACAGACGAAATGCAAACGTGAATACCCACATGAGATAGGATGCCATGCAGGTCCGTGGATCCCGAAGGCCAGATGTGCTGAGGGCCCTCTCTACAGAAGGCTGGGTGGCGAGGGTGCCCCCTGCTGCGGAGGCCTTAACCAGGAACAAGGGAACAAGGGGGAAGTGTGGCGGGATCGCTGAATCGCTGAGCCTCCAGGTTCTGGTCTGTGTGGAATTAGTGATAGTACGCGTTACAAGGGGGTGTCCCTGAAGGCTTAAATGACTTGATGGGCAAAAGTGAAGCACTTAGGCTGCTGGCCTGCACACGATGGCGACTTGGGAGATACAACTTCTTGTCATTGTGATTATGAGTACCAGATAATGACGGCAATACGCTGTTCACTAGCCGTAACAATCTACCACTGATTAAGTGCCTTGCTACATAAGAAATAGGAGGGGACTTCAAACACTGCCCAGGGACCAGCGGGTCATATGGAGGTTAAGGTGGCTGGATCCCACATGGCCAACTCCCACGTTTGAGTCAGGCGTGACTTGTCAGCATTGAAAATCACAGAGACACATGTGCCTGCCTACCCAAAATCCCGAGGAGACTAGAGGAGAAAGGACTGGTGGTGTGGCCATGGTGGGGAGGGGATTTCTCACTTTTGCTCTCTCTCTCCCTCTCTGGTGAGTGCATGCGCCCTATAGTAAAATTTGAAAAAACACAAAATGTGTATTATTTAAAACACACACACACACGGGGACCAGCAGTTAGCGTAATGGCTATGTTGCTGGACTCACATGTAGTCGACCGCAGTTTGAGTCCTGGACCTGTGGCTTAAACTCATGCCACGTGTGTGGGGTGCATGCCCAGGATCCCAGGAGGAGAATGGAGGAGAAGGAATTTCAGTATGGCCATCCCCCCTGGGGGTGATTTCTCGCTTTCTGTCTCTCTGTCATTCTGGTGAGCGCACGTGCCCTATAGCAAAAACTTCTCCAAAAAGTAAAATAAAATAAAAAACACCAAAAAACCAGGACCAGCATTTGGCATTATGTCTATGTCGCTGGACTCCCATGTAGTAGACCATGGTATGAGTTCTGTACCTGGTGGCTTAAACTCACACTGGACATGTGCCCAAGTCCCGAGAGGAGATTAGAGAAGGGATTGCGGGTGGCCATCCCTCCTGGCGGGTGATTTCTGGCTTTCTGTCTCTCTCTGTCTTTCTGACAAGCACCCACACCCTATAGCAAAAACCTCTCAAAAAAAAAAACCCCAAAAACAAAAAAACTGGGACCAGCAGTTGGCGTAATGGCTATGTTGCTGGACTCCCATGTAGTGGACTGTGGTTTGAGTCATGGGCCCAATGGCTTAAACTCATGCCGGTAGCGTGCTCCAGATCCAAGAGGAGAATGGAAGAGAAGGGATTGAGAGGTGGCCATCCCCCCAGGGAGTGATTTCTCCCTTTCTGTCTGTCTGTCTTTCTGGCAAGTACATGCGCCCTATAGCAAAAACCTCTCAAAAATATCAACCAAACAAACAAAAAAGGAAAATGTAACCCGGGTCCAGCAGTTGGCATAGTGGCTATGTCTCTGGTCTCCCATGTAGTCGACTGCAGTTCAAGTCCCGGACCCAGTGGCTTAAACTCATGCCAGGCATGTGAGGTGCGTGCCCAGGATCCCGAGAGAAGAATGGAGAAGGGATTGTGGTGTGACCATTCCCCGCTGGGGGGTGATTTTCCGTTTTCTATCTCTCTGTCTTTCTGGCGAGCACACATGCCCTACAGCAAAA